GTTGTGATATATTTTATTTTAAATTGTACTGCATTAGAAAAGGTAATTTTATAATAATAATATTAGCACAATTTATATTTATAATATTATTTATAAGATATAATTTCATTTCCCCAGTTAATTTATATACATGTTTATACTGCTGTACAGGTGCAATAAACCTATGCAAGTTAATTGTTGAGGTCTAGTTTTGCTACTCTCCATTTTCAGCACTTGATTCCATCTCTCAGTTTGTAAGAACATCTAATACCAGGTAGGACAATAGTGTGACTAGGCCAATACAATTAGCTAATGTATTCATCCTCTTTTCTTGTTGCCCTTTAATTCTCCAACTGAAATTGCCAAACCTCCATCAGACCATGGCAGTGTTCTCATTGTCGTCAGTACCCACAAATTCAGCGTTGCTCACCACAGCTCACCACGGTTTCCCTTGGATTGACTTTTCTTACATGTTCCAGTCGCTAGGACGCAAATAAGGCGGGTATTTAGAGCCAGAAAATTGGTCCTCCTTATATTTTAAATATGAGAAACAGGCATAAGATAATGAAAGGGCCTTATGTAAGGCACCTAATCTAAATGTTTCAAGTCTTCTCCTCACAATTAGCAGAGTTTGAGACGATCAGAAATGTCGAATAAATACGATGGTCACGTTTATTTTCATTATGTGGTAAATAAGGGAAATAGATGAACAAGGGGTAAAGCAGACCTATTTTACTGAACAAGAGTGAGACTGGGATAAGACTATGAAAGAGGATTGCAGTACAACGAGTATCCTATGCGAAGAAAAGTTAGATTTCGAGGAATCTCTTGTTTCATAATTGTTGTGCTTACTTCCATTTCGAGTGAAAGTGTTTGGTGAAGAGCTTCGATGGTCGATTCCACTAGAAGCTGACGGCGGATTCCTCTTGACCAGCATTCGTTTGGCTTTCCTGGAACATTCATGCTGTCGCTGTTTCCGAGGCAAGCTCCCTCGATTCCGGTGAAAAGGTGCTAAGCTTTCGTCCGTCATGTGATGAACCAAATTCGAGCCAACGAGTCAAGAAAACTCGCCGGCACATCCTTAAAAAGCTGTATATACCTTGCTCTGATGATGTTGTTCATATGACGGACGAAAGCTTAACACGCTTGCATCGGAATCACAAGAGATTACCTCAGAAACAGCGTCAACATGAATTTTCCAGTAAAGCTAATCGACAGCTGGACAAGAGGAATCAACCTTCTAACACTTTCACTCGAAATGGAAGTAAACTCAACACTAACGGGTATCAGTCGTCGTCCTCTGGTGAGATCGATCTAGGAATCTCTTCATTATTCATTTCCATACGAAACGAGAGTATTCACTAAAAAAATCTAAGCTTGACAAAAAAATGGCTGATAAACGACACGAAATAAAATGATAAGAAAATACAATGTTCTGTCGGGTTAACATGACTTCACATCAAAATACAAGGTTGGGGAGTCCCAGGATGTTAAGCTGAAGACTCCTTCACACGATCAAAAATTTTCCACTCTAAAGCAAACCTCCAATCTGGCCAATTTGCGAATCCTTCATGAAAAGCCGAGTCACAATAAAAAGGACGGTCAACATCTTGGATAGGAGGAACAAGTGTAGGAAACCGAGTGATGACTATTTTGGGCTGATAAAGGGGCTTAAAGGGAGAGGAGGGAAAGAGCAGAAACAACCATTGTGCAAGTGGAGGCTTAGATATCCTCTAATCTATAAGTTATATTAATCCTATTTTGTTTAAGGCAATAAAGGACGGTTAGTAGAATTTTCATACAATTTAATGAATATACCTTAAATTTCCGTTACATTTCACGTAGCCTTGCTTTCCAAAAGACATAGCCTCATCGAATCAGAAGTGGAATCCGGTTTTGACCTCACTTGTGTTTCATTGATACCCTCAGCGGGACTCAAACCATGGTAGTGTAGCGCATTGTATCGACACGTTGACCAGAATGCTAAACTGGGCGGATTTCATGAAGGTTTAGGCCTTTCACAGGTGGAATTGTCTATGAAGCAAAGTTATATTTGCTACAGCAATCAACTACATTACTTAATTCGCTTAATAAGTAGGCTTTCGAGGCAAATATTATGTCTGATTAATCAGGTTTATTGAACATATTTTCTTTAAGTGATGAAGGTCTGATGGTTGAATTTTCCATGATTGCCTTAAACGAAATAAAGTGAATATTTTTCATATATATGACCTATTGGCTGGTTTGAAATTCTACTTGTGAAAGAAAATATACTCTACTCTGTTTAGAGTCTGAACAGTTGGCATGGGTTGAATATTTCATACACAGAATAAGAATACAGCTACCATTGCCTAAACTTGTGTCATTATAGCTGGAGTATACGTTAATTTATTTGTTTAAGGATAAAGTTGTGACCCCATACATATCCTCTTCCAGTTCCAACTTTATTGATCTACAAGCATGAAGTAGATAACCAAATCATGCAGTGCCTCAATGTCATCACAAAATAGTAATAATAAGGGTGTAGACTTGTAACCGACCACCTTTGAAATTTGTTCAGTATTTAGAGGCATTTTAATCGTTTCTCACTCTGTAGATGAGGTGCACAGGCAAAATGCTAGCTCAGCTCGGACTAATTGGGCTCACAGGACGGTAAACCAAGGATCACATTGCATAATAAACATGTCTGCACACCAAGGCAATCATACAGTTTCAGTGAGATTAAATCAATAACAAGTTATAATTAATCTTTGTTTTTATATGAAAAGTATAATGTTATAAATTCATTAAATAATAACTGCGAGTTCCTTATGAAGTGCTGTTATTCGTTTTTATTGGAACGTTTAGGTTAATGCGAGGAAAAGTTGAGTTTCGAGGAATCCATTGTTTCATAATTTTTGAGGTTACTTTTATTCCGAGTAGAAAGGATATACAATTTCTTTCTCTGCTATTTTTTTAAGAAAACTTTGTCGAATTACAGAATATGGGGTATGGTCTAGCGAAAGGGATGGACAGGATGCACAGACGCAGAGATGATAGGAAATTAGGGAATTCAGGCTTTACAATCAACCCAAGGTAAAGTCGAAACAATAAGTATGTAGTTAAACGTAGTTCTAGAAAAAAAATTCATTGAGATACGAAGGGAAACTTGTTTTCGATTAATCTCGTGAGATAAAATTGTTAGTGGACCTTCATTCGGATAAAAATGCATGAAGAAGAGATTCGTTGGTCGATCTCACCAGATGAGGACGAATGAATCTCGTTGTACTGCAGCGGTTTTTAACAGCAGCTCAACACCCTCTCTCTCTTTCAATCTATTAATCATGCATAAGTAATTCCTTATTAACTTTCTACGACCGTTCCACACATTATATTTATTCCCTAAGCTATTAATTTCAATATCCACTCTTATATTTCGTTTAAACACAGACGTACCGTAATCAGCAAGCCTAAAAGTTTGAGACCATTTAATTTCATGTCCAGTTTCTACAATGTGTTCGGCCACTTCTGACCTTTGCAAGCATTTTTGTGTTCTACCAATCTTTATCTAATAGGTCGACATGTCTCACCGACATAACATCGACCACATGAGCAAACAATCCTGTAGCAGCTGGATTTCAATAATGGGTCATATTTCTCTCTAAAAGATGGCAAACTAGAAGAAAGTGTGAGGAGTTCTTTCAACATAGTCCATTTAGTCAAAGAGAGTTAAACTAACCTTTTCGCATGTCTTAATTTTACCGTCATGAATTCTCTCAAAAAAGACAGGTGAAGGTCGATCCCGCCAGAAGACGACGGCGGATTCCTCTTGACCAGCAGCTGTCAATTTGCTTTACTGTAACATGCATGTTGACGCTATTTCTGAGGTAAACTCCTTCGATTCTGGTGAAAGCGTGCTAAGCTTTCGTCCTACATATGACCAATATCATCAGAGCACGGTATCATCCTTACAACCAACCTCAGGATACTCTTGAGTCGTTAGCTTGAATTCGGCTGTATTGATGATATCCTGCTCGGATGATGTTCGTCATACGACGGAAGAAAGCTTTCCACGTTTTCAGCGGAATCGAAGGAGATTGCTTTGGAGCCAGCGCCAACAAAAATGTTCCAATAAAGCCATCGATGGCTGGTCAAGAGGAATCCGCCGTCGTCTTATGGAGGAATCAACCTTCAAATCTGTACCAATCACTTTCACTCGAAATGGAAGTAATCCCAACAATTAGTAAACAAGAGACTCCACAAAACCCAATTTTTAGTTGCAAGAATGTTTCAGTAAAGACATTCAACAGTTGGTCAAATAGAATCCGCCACCGTCTTCCTTTATGATCGACCTTCGACTCTACACCGAACAATTTCACTCGAAATGGAAGCAAGCGTAAAGTTTGGCTAACCCAAGATCCTTTCTGTTTAAACGCGCTAAGCTTTTATCCATTTTTCCAGGTAATAGACACCACCTGATTATTTTTAAAATACTTAGGGCAAAACAAAGAATGTCGGTAAGCTCAAGGTAGCTTTTCGGGGCCGATGGAAAAGCTTAAGTCGAGAATAAGAAAAAAGAAGAACTCTTTTGGTATATTCGAACCGCTAGCGAGGTAGAGTTTAAAGCACAAAACACGGTCACGAATAACAGAAATTGAAGTAATTTAAGCAAGAATAGGTTGTAAATGTACTCCGACCTAAATAGAACCTATTTTATTTTTCTTAGTAAAATAGCTCAGGTATTCTTGAAATGAAGTTGAACAGCCAATGTCTGAGAGGTTGACCAAGAAACACAGAAGGAACCCGATAAATCTATAAGAAAATATTGAAATTTGGCGAACTGTCAGATATTCGTCAGCATGAATGAAGCCTTTAAAAAGAGAATTTGCTAGCAAATAACATTTTTAAACTGTATAAAGCAATAAACGAATAATCTGAAATAGCCTATTTAATAATCGTGAAAATGCAATATTTCCTCTGTCTTTTCTTAATGCATCGGACTTGTCCAGATTTTCTGAGCATTTGCTATAAAATATCGCAGAATGATTATCAAAATTGTGGTCGCTTCAATACTCATAAATGCTGCGAGCGTCTTTGCTAAGATTGATACCAAGCAAGATATGAAGATAACTCTCCAAAAATACGAAAAGGAAGCTCTAGGAGATTGGGAAGCCCTAGTAAGACTGGATGCCACGAAGTCCAGTGCCAGCCTGCGATCCTTGGGTCGGAAATGCCATCCACAAAAGCACCATCAGGCGAGCAAATGGAGACAAGACCAATATAGGCCCCTTCGGAATGCCTTCCCTGCCTTCACGAACAGTAACTTTCGCAGCTTTCCGGGAGACATCGACGTGCTTCAGGCAGGCTGCATCTTCCGCGAAGGGCTGGCCTTGCCACCAGGCCATACCCTGACGCCAGAAATAGAAGAGATTACCCTCCTAATCAACTGTCCACAAGTCTGTGCCCCTTGGCTCGGACAGAACGGGGTCCAAAGTGAGGACATTGACCTTTTGATCATGATTAAATCAAAGGGATCGGAAGTTTGGCCTCGAGACGTACTTCGCAGAGGATGGCTAAACAACAGTTGTTGGGCGGGTCGCAATGTCCGACATGTCTTTCTGCTTGGCAGAGAAAGTCCAAACCGTTATAGGGACATGCGAGAGCAAAAGTTAAAACAAGAATCGAATAAATACGGAGACATTGTGATGCTAAATTTCCTCGAATCATACCACAACAATACGTATAAGCTAATTCTGGGCTATGCTTGGCCACTGGCTTTTTGCAAAAGTGCACGCTGGGTGCTTTATGCAGATAGTGATATGTTCATACATTCGGGAAACTTGCTAGGCCTACTGAGTGAAATCAGTCCAGAAGCGGGTGCCCGAATGGTGGTGGGGAATATCCAAAGTAGCATGCATGCCATGAGAGCTAAAAAGGACAGAAAAAGTAAATGGGATATGCCTAATAGTGAATATCCCTACAATCTATACGAACAATATCCTTCCGGTGGCTCATACATCATCGGGTTCCAGGTACTCTTAGACATTTATCTTGCTACACGCTTCACCAAGCTCATTCGAATCGACGACGCATTCATCGGACTAGCCCTAAAGAAGTTGCAGATCGCACCTTGGCACACAGAAGGCTTGGTAAGAAGAGCAGCGTTTGAAATAAATGAAACAGATATCATTTCCTTTCACCAGGGCAGATCTTTGAATGTTCAACTAGCGCTGTGGAAGAGTCTCCAGCTAGATAAGCTCTGTGTGACCGCAAGATGATCAACACGTGAGCTCAACAGTCATACAAGAAGCTATTCATTTCAAACTCACACGCATTGCCCACAAAAATGTTGGCCTGACTTTCATTTGGCTTGAAAAGACGATTTGAAGGGTTTCGTAAAGTGGCATGTTCGGAAACCGAAGGAGGACCATCTTGTAGATGTGAATGAGTTACGGGCGCATTGTCAATAAACACTTATCAATCCGTGCTGAACTTTCTTATGATCATGATTAGAGTAAAATCGCAAACCATGCTGTCCTGCTGTGATGATGAACGTCGCACGATGTCTGAAAGCTCACATAGAATTACCTGAATCGCTGTACGATGATCCGAGGGCTTACGTGCACAAACCTACAGTCACAAATCCAAGACAATACTCCTTCGGCTTCAGGATAGGCGAAATCAGTAATCCTTTCCACTCGCTAATCCAAACTAAATGAAGCATACGCCAACATCAAGCTGACTGAAACCGAGCATAAAAATGAGAACCGGTGATAATCCTATATTATTAAAATGCAGATGTAGTCAACCAACAAGTAAATTAAATGCAAAACCTTTCTGAATCAGTGTCACTATCTGTTGCTCTAGCAACTTGAGGAAGATCATTTTCTTCACACTTGTAACATTGTAAATAATCATCATTAGACCTTGTCCATATATTTCGCTTTCTATGGTTTGATAAAGTGTTTTTGTACGTTGTTAACCTTTTTACTATACAACCGGGCATTAAGCAACTGTTGTAGAGGAGAGTACTGGAAGGGTTAGGCATCGAATCCTGTATTCAGCCATCACTCTAGACAAGCCGGAATCTTTAGACTTTTGAAATCGCTCAGTTGGAAGTAAAAACATTCAAGCTAATTGGTCTAGGAGACTGGCGTGGTAGGATTTCAAACACTCTAAGTCACGTCAACTGATTGAAAGAATGATAATGTAGTTTTACTAAAATTAAATGAATAAACCTCATGATGCCAGTGAATTTCTCCTGGTCTTGCCTCCAAACGCGACGATTATATTTGCGAATCAATGATACATTCGATACTTCCCAATATCGTAACTATTTTTGCGTTTGTGGCAGCAGCCGTTGCTCAATAATCTAAAATTAAGCGCCATTTTAATCGGTATCATGTTCTCATAGCAAAGTGGTCATAGCCTGTATAATGGGTACCTCATTATTGCGAGCTGTGTAAAGAGAAAAGGCAATTTGCCATCAATTTGGACAGATTGGTTGTGTCAACATTGTAGCACTCCGACATGTGCGCCTGTGATTCAGGTGAGCTATGCTCGCCACGCTCTTCCGATCTGCCGCCATTCAAATAAGCCCAGCCAGTTGATCGATC